ATATCACGTTGACCGGTAACGTCCTGAATTTGTGTGTCTGTATATATGTAAATATGTGTATTATTGGGTATAGTGCGTGAACTTATGAGTTGTGACGGAATTCGGTAGTTTGTTTGCTATGTTCGCCATGGTATGAAGTGATTAATGTAACCCTTCCCGTTTGGAGGACGTTGGTGAATTGGGGATTCCCCGGAAGGGGAAGAGACGTTGACTTTATTTAATGGCGAGCCACGTTAGCCACGCCTCAGTGTTGATAAACGGATCTTTGAAGCTTGTAATAGGCAGGGCGCTCACCAGACGAAAATCCACCCATTGTTTCTTATTGACACTGTTTTCAGATACATTGGGCGCCGAAGTGCCGTTTGGCGTAATCCTGTAGCTGGCCAACGAGTGACTCAACTTGAACCCATTGTCATTAGTTGCATGTGGTATGGTTCCATCCTAGGTTGCCGCTCGTCCTAGAATACCTGCACCGACTCTAATCATGCAATGGTAGGCTGTCGCCTTTCCATGAACTTTACCTGGAGGCCTACCAAGCGTCCCCACCGATTGGCAAGTGAGGAATAGTCTCAGCCGTCGGTCAGGCAAGCTTATCAAGACGCAGTGCGCACCGAACATTCACTGTCTTTTTCTAATGACCCTAAGCGTCAGAGTAATAGCACCTTGACATCCAGGAACGAGGCAAGCGCATCTGCTTGTGGCATTGTCAATCGTCACCGCACCATTTACTGGATGTTTGATAGGTCGGTGCACCGGTAGGAATCGGGGAAGAAACCTCCCGGCTGGTTCTGAACACAACGTGACGCGAGGGAATAATAGACGCGAACTAAAGCGGAGTCTACGTGCTGACAAGTAAGCCTGGTAGACCATACGGCCTTAACAAATGGAGGAGGAAGGGACAGTGGGTCATTACCGCAAGCTCTTCCAGCTGAACCGCATCACTGATCCAAGGAAACCGGGCGTCAGGAATGCAATCAGAGCCAGCGCGGTTGTACTGATACATAATAATGAGCGCCGTATGGCGCTTTGGACGAACACCTTCAAGAGCTTTTCAGCTGGTCCCTTGCACCCGGAACTCTTCCTACTCAGGTGATGCAGGACGAGCCATGGACGGTTAGTTTAGGGCCTCTGTCGGTGGCCGATGTCCGAAACGCGAGCACATCCCTCAATCTTTTTCGTGTCGCTGGTCTAGATTCCTCACCACCTGCACGGTTTAAGGATGGTGGTGAGGTTACCTGCGAAGCGCTGACCTCTCTTTTGGAACGTATCGGGAATGGGGAGCGTCCCGGCCAACGGGAACAAACCGATTATACTGACAATATACCAGATGGGCAGTCGCGTAGACTGTTCTAACCTCAGGGGTATTAGCCTAACGCCAGTTGTGACAAAGTACTGACCACGATTCTCCTTCGTCGCCTCACTGTGGTACGGAACTCTCGGAGTAGGGAAGAACAGGAGGTTTTCCGCCTCGGAGGTGGCCGTACAGACCACATATTCACTTTACGGCCGGTGCTATGGCGGCGCCACGCATACCGCAACTCGATAATAGCTGTGTTCCTAAATTTCAAGAGTGCGTTCCATTCAGTCGATTGAGCTATTCTGTTCAAAATACTTGCTTGGAAAGGTGTTCCAAGGAAAGCTATGAACATCCTATTTGCTCTATACCTAAATACTACAGGCCGCGATTGGGTCTACCGTGACACTTCTATAGCTTCTGACAATAACTGGTCTTCGTTACGATTGTCGGATTTTCCCTATTTTTGTTCAAAGTGTTCGTGGACTCCACCATGTAATGTTTCCTTGTGGAACCTCGCGGTGTAGCCACTGAGGTCCTGCCTAATGAAAGATTAGTTGATCTTCCTTTTGCAAACGATGTCATCTGGTTTTACGAAGATGTTGCTGCGGTACAACCAGCCCTGTATATCCCGTCTAGAATGGTCCCATTATTTGGCATGCGCTTTGCATCTTCAAAATGCAAAAGGTTGCTGCAGAATTATCAGCCAGTTTGTGACCCATGGATGCTTGCCGACGCGAAATTCAAAGCAGGTGAGCAATTCACCTAGCTTGGCAGCTGCATTAGCAACGGTGAGTGTATAGCTGTTGAGGTCAGTTCAAGTATTACGATAGTTAGGGCTGCCCGTTTGAAACTTCGACAGCTGTAGCGACAGAAGGTGGTTTCTCAACTTCGGGAATGCCGTGTGTGCAAGCCCCCAACTGCCGGCACTATGGCAGAGTGACTTTGTCCCTTCCTTCTGAAGGTCTGAAGGGCCTTCAAGTCTTGGATCGTCGAGGTCGGCGAAGCACTGCTGGTGTCGGATGGTACCCGCGTGTCCGCAATGATGATGCGTGTGGGCGCGTACTAGGTAGCGTTAAGCATGCAAGCTACCAAGAACAACAGATAGCACTGAATAAGCCACCTTGGTTTAGGCACGTGTATTTTATGCCTGGTCATCGCTTTCCTAGAGGGGCTTTGTTAAGCCTGCTTGGTGTAGAGTGGCTTAAGGCCCGAAGTGGACCGAAATTGATTTTGTAGCGGAAAATGGAGTCACTGACTACCAAAGTGGGTGCCGTTTGTCCGTCGCGACTTACAATGGAACGATGGATTTATGCGGGTATAAAAGCTAAAGCTTGGCAAATCCCGTAGGGTGCTCAGTGCGAAAATCATAGAAGTGTGAAAAATTCGATGGAAACCAATTCAGTAAAATCGTTTAACAACGAGTCACTACAAGCTTGTGGACTCACCTAGTTTGAAGTGTCAAAATAATAATCACTATAACTCCGGAGGAGCTCAGGATGTATGGAGTATTTGGTTAAAAGAGTCACCGCCCCTTGCAATTCGCATGGGGCAAAGTGTTTGCGTTTCAAGCGTCAAAATATAAATATAAATCCACTGTTGAAAGTTGCGTGGGGGGAATTATTTTAAATTATGGATTTTGGATCTCTCAAAATTAGGCTGTACTAGGGGAGATAATGCAATGAAGTGAGTGCACTATCAACTTGGTTTTTGAACTCGATCAGGTTGGGTTCACTGACTACAGATTCTGGGAGAGCATTCTAGGCTTGGCAAACACGCACGGAAAAGAAATTCCGTCGACATTCCAAACGGCTGTACTGCACTGCCAGCTTCACATGATGGCCTCTCAGATTGTTGTTGCTACTGAGCTCCAGCAGATGGCGGCAGGTATGATTGGGATCTGTCAGCATCTGATAAGCTAAACTCAAATCTCCCCGTCGTCGTCTATATTGACCACTAAATATCCCGAGCAATCTTAGTCTGTTTTCCTAGCGTAACTGGCATAAACCTTTCATGTTCTTCGTTGCGCGTCGTTGAGGTTTCTCTAAATCAGAGAGGTCTTTCCCCAGCCACGGCTGTCAGACTTGTATTGCATACTCCACGTGTGGTCGTATGTATGCCGCTAGAAGTTGGTGAAAAACGGATGGATCGAAGCGTCCAAATGTGCGTCGGAGAAGGCCCAAATTTTGAATGCTCGCGTTCGATGCTTTCTTTGCCTGGGTTGAACAACCAAGGTCGGACTGAATCAAGACTCCTAAATCCTTTTCCTCAGCAGTTGTGTGAAGCAATGTTCACCCAGTTTATAGAAAAATGCTGATTGGTGACGTAAGTGTAATACTCCGCACTTTTCTGTGTTGAGTGGGAGTTGGTTCTGAACTGACCACGCATACACCTTATCCAGACCCTCTTGAAGTATTGCGGAGTCGTCTGGTGTATTGATCGCTCTCCAGTCCTTGACGTCGTCGGCATAGAGTAGGTCGTTGGAAAGAATGAGGGCCGCTATGTCGTCAATATACATCAAAATCAATCGTGGCCTCAGTACCGATCTTTGTGGTACACCACATTTGACTTGGATTGGGTGGGACAGGGACCCACGCACTTTTACCTCTAAGCTCCGGTGGAGAAGAAAGCTTGTGATCCATCCTAGGAGCGGATCACCAATGCCGAAGCTCTGAAGTTTGCAGATCAGGATTCCTTGGTCTAGTCGATCGAAGGCCTTTCGGAAATCAAGGTAGGCCACGTCCACTCTTGCACCGCTGTCAAGTAATTTGGTTTAACTCGATCTTGCTAGCAGCGGATTTGTGGTGCACGATCGATTTCGTCGAAAACCATGCTGTTCATGTGCAAGGTAGGCTGGAGTCCACGCGACGCGCCGTATGCTTGGCTCGATTTTACAGGACGTGACTAGCAACTGCCACTAGTGGAGCCTCTGCTGTTATCTCCAAGTCGGATTGCCTGTTTAAATAGTCTTTCGCGCAGAGCTACCTGCGGAGGATGGCTGGTTATAACGCGGGACGGTGAAAACTGCAAGGAATCTATCCCGCCGGTCCTGACTTATCTTTGTACGATAGCAGGGTGTTAGTGACGGCTGGTTGTCTGCACAAGGTGTAGGCGTCTTGGCGCAGAATGGCTGTTTAGGGCATTAGGGTTTTCAGGTTAGTTCCATGGCTTCCCTCCTTATTATTAGTTATTCCATAGGTAATCATGGTGGTATGGCAACGCAGCATCAGCTCAAGGCTAGTGTACGTCGGTTGCTGATACTAATGATGACTATGGTAGGACGTATGACGACGTAAACCTATGATAACTGCATAATGCACTTACAGTTACATATCATGTAACAAAGGAAATACGCTTACCGTAAGGTTAAATTTTGTACCAAGCTTGGCGAACCAAGTTCGTAGCACCAGCATAAGGAGGTAACCATAAGTTTCTATGGAATTAATGCATCATGAACGGCAACAAAACGTGCCAAGCATAAATTGCAAATAAATACTTGCTCTCCACTTAACCGAGACAAGTTTGGGGAATCCATTTGGTGCAAGCCTCACACATTACCCATGGAATGGAATAGCCTTCGCTTCTGCGTCCGCTTCTTGCAAATATCTAGTACAAAAGCTGTTGCCCGTATATACCACGTTGGTTGACGTGCGACTGTGTGGCGTTGCTGTATGCAACGTCGTACCAATGTGGTGGTAGTCAATTTTCAGAACCTTCTCCGTATGGGGTCGCCACAGCCTGGAGGAACCTCGGTGCTCCACAGTTCCAATAATGATTTACGATTCGAGGATACAAGACTAACCTCAAGGTTCGCTTCCGCGGGGCCAACCGCGCTGGTGGAAGCTATGGCACTAGCGCGGTAATCAACCGAGGTAAGTTCCGAGGCCGCCAGAGACACTTGGACGCAATCACTGGCCCCCGGGTTGTCCGGGATGAAGTGGATAGCTGGCGAGAGACGTTGCCTTTGTGTAATGGAAGCACCGCGGTGCCAGGTGAAGTCCTGCATCACAGCTCAATATCGCAGTCCACGACCCAAGAACCACGTTGACTGCTCAGCGCATTCAGCATTTTACAAACCGCTCAGGCCCGTAGCCAAGCATCTGCGCCACCAAATGCCCAAAGACGTATGCTACCACAAGCAATTTATATGTTCAAGTACTGTACCGTCATGGCGCGTACCTCATGCAGCTGACCGCCGTGCCCTCCACCTCCTCAACTTCCATCGCCCCTTCTCATGACTCAGAAACCGCCGCTAACATTCATGCAATAAATTATCTGCTTCGACTTGGCGCATCACAGCAACATGGCGAATGTGCCAGCAGGGCATCCGCCATTGACCCTGAAATAAACTAATGCATGTATGCCCCTCGGAATTGATACCCTGTAAAACTTACTCCCATTGAAATCCACCAACCCATATCCGCAGTCGAACTTAACACTGCGTACAGTAAGACGCCTATAATAGAAAATTAAGCCGCGCCGCGCGTAATTGCTTAACTTCAGCGTAATGGGTGCTTATGCAGGCAGTTTCGGGGGCGTTGAAGTAAAGCAAATAAAATCCTCCCTAACACGTATGCACCTGGGCCAGGGACCGCTGCAATGCATTTCAGAACCACCTGAAGCAGAGTCAGTAAGGAGGACCGCCCGCTCAACGGTTCTCATTCCACACTCTGTTTATCATCTGGTTGCCAAACGGCACAAAATTCTGCAGCTTATGTGCAGCCAAGGAGCCAGCTTAGTCAAGCCAAGTAGGTGGCAACTACTGATACGATTCTAGGTTTTTATCCAGTATCATTTCCAGTAGACGATGGAACTATGCCATTTCTCTGGTGCAGGCAAAGGCTAGCATTTATAACAGGTGTGCCGCCTTGCCAAACCCATTCACACCGCTTTACTGCGAGCATTACCTGCCAATATCAAGGATAATCTAAAATCAGCAAATTACCAGTTTTTTATCTCGGTAAACAGCATGAAATGCACTGACTTGCACCCTGCATTAGTTCATGACTACTGAGCTGACGTTCTCAGTTTCAAGTGGCATTTCACGCAGCGCCTGCACCGCCTGACGGCATCTGTAAGCGTTTTCATTGGGGAACAATGCATAGAAAGACAACATGGAGATATCAGTCACGACAACGACATCTAGTGCCAAAATGGTAACAACCGTAGCTAATCTGATGAGTGGCGTGAGCCAACATCACCTCACCAGAACGTGTCATTAATTATACCATCTCGGTAGGCACCAAATAAACTACTGCCCCTCTAAGCACCTCGCACGACACCGTATCTAACTTTTCTGTCTAAAAGACCCGCCCCTTGCTCAAGGTCGTTCGCGTACATCTGGCGCCGGCGCCGTTTGATGCAAAAGAACGCTTGAAGGTTTAATCGCCAACCTTAGGTGCACGTCACTAAACTCCGAAGTTCCTGCATGTTTCCGGAAGTCGCCATTAGTTGCCTGCTATAGGCTTCCCGCGCAGGTGTTAGTTTGCGGTTACTTGGAAACAAGCGCGGATATTCCACGCGCAAGACGTAATGGCGCTTTTCTTTGCCAAAGACCTTAGTTCCCAACGCGAACTTTGCAATATGGCTGAGAACCGTGCGTTGTAGTGGTAGCATCGCTCACTATAAATAGAAAGCATTAATAACGCATTTCCATACGCACCGACCACCACGAGCATCGCTCAGGAATCCACTTGTACTTGAAGTTTCCTGGAAGGTCTTCCCCGTTTTACGCCTGTAAATTGCAACCGAGAACACGCTGCTTCTATAAAGTGAAGTGACCATTTCACCCTGAAAGCGTTTCAGAGTATCATTTACCGTTGCAATTGGGCGGAAAGCACACGAAAACATACGAATGTGCATGCACTATGCGTACTGTCATGGGTTCCAAAGGCTTTCGTGTCTGGGGCTTACTTTGGTCGTATTAGATCAAGGGGCTGAAAAGTAAAAGAACTACTACTTAGGCGGCTGGGAAAACCCTTAGTAATTATCGGAGTTGGATGAACGGTGTGCTTATGACACATCTCGTTGGTAGTTGGGCGGTAATGTCACAGCTGCCAGTGGAGAACCAAGCGTAAGGTGACTAGATGGATGATAGCAAAACACCCTTGTGAGATGGTGGCTTTAACACTACTGAAGACTAAATGCGAAGCTAACGAGAAGAGGAAATTACAAGTACAATCTAGGCCACACGACGTCAACTTACTTCCCGTCTTGTCACTGAGACACAGACGCGCTACCTTATCCCCCTCTTAGGAGGCGCTGCTCTAAGCGCCTACAGAAGCCCTGACCCATGGCAAGTAGATGACGCACGGACTGGTGAACGCCTAGGTTCGGACAATTCTACGTGAGGGAATGATAGTAATCATTGCAACGGCTGCAGTCCTACTTAGCGGAATCGCGTTAGAGCTGGAAATGTTAAAAACTAAGTATTATGTGTCTGATCAAGCGTTTCAAAGGCCGTTGAGTCCCAGGCGCACGTGGGTCGTATAAGACCAAGGGACAGAAATGCAACGAAGGTAAGTCGTAGGTGACTAGAAAACTATTTAGTAAGTGTCGGAGCTGGATGAACGGTGTGCTTGTGTCACATCTCATGGTTAGCTGGGCGGGACTGTCACAGAAGCCCGTAGAGGACCGAGCGCAAGAACTGAACCCTTTCAAAGCAGCTGGACCTGATTCATTTTACCCGAAGCTTCTGCATGAGTTGGCGGTGGAACTGAGTGGACCGCTGACGATGGTGTTTCAGAAATCAATTGACAGCTGTACATTACCTTCTGAATAAAAGGAGGCTGTCATTTGTTCTATCTTCACAAATGTTGACGGGAGTCTGTCAGCCAATTATAGGCCAGTTACTCTGACTAGCGTCGTGGTCAAACTGCTTGAAAATCTGGTGACGGATTCACTGGAATGTCACCTGAATAGATTTATTCTACTCAGTAGTGCACAACATGGATTCCGGAAGGGGTTTTCTTGTTTGACGAATTTGTTGGTTGCTCCTGAAGCTTGGGCCGAGGCAGTGGACAATGGCCACATGGTGGATGTGCTTTTCGTAGACTTCTCGAAAGCATTTGATATGGTACCCCACTTGAGGCTATCACAAAAGCTGAGGTCCTACGGTCTATCTGGCCGCGCCCTTCACTGGGTATCTGCGTTCTTGCAGGGAAGACAGCAGTGTGTACGTGTCGGTCGCAGCTAATCCTTTAAGCAAGCGGTCCTTAGCGGTGTCCCACAGGGCTCGGTTTTTGGACCGATGCTGTTCTCCATCTACGTAAACGATCTCCCTGGAGAGCTTGGGGTATCATCCCTATTGTTTGCTGATGACCTAAAGCTCTGGAATGTTGTAAATGTTCGTGGGGGTTCTGAGGCCATACAGCATGCACTTGACAGACTCTGGGACTGGTCTACTTTGTGGCTACAGCCCATAAATCAGGCGAAGTGTTCCATACTTCGTATGGGAGCAACTTTCCCGCCATCGAGCTACGTACTCGGTGGGGTCGAACTCCCCCTGGTCTCCAACCAGGTAGACCTAGATGTCGTCTTTCCTCGCCATTGCTTTCTGGTGACAACTGGAAGAAGGCCGCTAGTAGGGTTTCAGAATGTTGTGGTTATTACGCCTTGCTTTCGGGGTCTTAACTGCCAACATCTTTGTGAAGCTGTTCTCAGCTTTCGTCCGGCCCCATCTGGAATACTGCGTCTAGGCTTGCCCGCCCTGCCTGGTTCAGGACAAAATGAAGCTTGAGAGGGTTTTGAGAGTAGGTACCAAATTGGTCGAGGGGTTACGGCGGCAACCGTACCTCGAGCGTCTACTTAGCTTGGGTATGTATTCAATGCACTACCGACGGCTTCAAGGAGACCTAATCCTTACTTGCCGCATTTTAACGGTAGGTTGGACCGGACTTGAGCTGACTATTTAACCCTGCTAGGATGCCTTGCCTTCGCGGTCACCATATGAAGCTACACAAGCCGCGTTCTGGCCGGATTAGCGCGGAAACTTGGTTATCGCGTAGAGTTATCTAGCGCTGGAACTCGCTTCCATAAAGTGTTGTCAGTGAACCTACGGTTAGGGGTTTCGACCATCAGTCAGACGCTTTTGAGTGGAGACACGAAACTTTTCACTTCTCCTGACCATATCCATGTTCAAACTTTTAGTTCTTATTCTGTCATTCTCTTCACTCTTTGGTGTTATCCTTTATGTTAACGACTTTCATTCCCCTTTTTCTTCTATTTACTTTCTATTTCTTTCTTACTTCACGTAACCTACACTACGCGGACTGCTAGTGCAGGGAAGGTGGGCATTAATTAGTTGATCAGGGTTTCGGGTGTTTCGTATTAGTTCTATCAAGAACTAGCACCATATAATTTCCTGGCTCAACAAGTTGCTCAAGAATGAACACTCAAGGGATTTTCCTATCGTTCCAGTCCATCTGAATCCGAATCAGGATGGCGTAAAAACTCTCATGGGAGATGATGTCTTTAATAATACTGAAGACGAAATGTAAGGGTAAAGCGAAGAGGAAACGACAAGCACAATATAGGCCACATGACGACAACTTACTTGCTGACTTACTGCTCTGACACTGCAGCGCTACCGAACACAGCCGATTTGTTAACGGTGGCAGAAAGCAAAATACGCGCAGAAGATAATACCTCACGCAGTTCATGAAAACGTCACTTCCAAACCATTCACAGGGTCCATCCATTTAAAAAACATCTTCTTTAGAGAAGTTATTTATTTATCATTGTAATCTCTAAAGCATAATTTGAAACCATCTAGGCGGATAACCATTTGTACCCATGCACGTCCTCCGAGTTATGTGAGTACTACACAGTAACCCGTTTTTAACCATACGGATTCTGTTTCTAGGCCGAAAAATTGTTGAAAACAGTGTTTAAATAAACACTGGTAACAGAAATTGACTTTATCAAAGTCTACCTATAGCCTGAAGAGTAGTGTTCCAGCAAACACTTGCGACAAACTTGTTGTGTGCGTAACAAATGGGGGGAGTTAGTGACGCGTTGTGAGCATGTTGATGTGGCCGCTGTGTCTGAGTCCTGGCTCTCCCCAGAAGGCCTTAACAGTGATCTACTTATAGTCTTTCCGTGCTACAAGGCTGACAGGCCCGGGTATCAGACTGGTGGAGAAGTACTCTTGCTTATATAGTGCCAATATAAACACTGGGAGGCTCCATTTACCATGCGTTCTGCTAACGTTCAGGTGGTATCCTGCTATCTAAGGGCATTGGGTAGATCGCAGATTATAGTATGTGTCTATCTTAGCCCATCCTCCACGCAAGAAGAGGACAGGGGTCTTGGTACGTTACTAAGACAGGCGGCAATGGCCTCACCTAATTTTCTGATCGCCGGTGATCTAAACCGTCCGCATGCTGATTGGCAGCATGCTGAAAACAGAGTGGGTACTTTAGAGAAGGAACTAGTAGATTGGATGCATGTAAATGCGTTCGAGCAATACGTCATTGTTCCGACTAGGAGTCGTCTTTGGAGTACCCCTTCAACCCTTGATATCGTGATCGCCAGACATAGTCACTTTATTGACCTATGCGTGGAGCCACCCATAGGTAACACTGATCATTGTGTTTTGACCTTTTCTCTGGACACACCGAGGCTTGCAGAGAACCGTCGAATGGGAAGATATTTAAATCGTATTGATTTTACGAAGCGCGGGATCGAGCCCTTCAAATCACTTGCATCCCTGAACAGAACAAGGCCACTTTGGAACAGAGGTGGCTTCTACTCAAAAGTGGACTTGTACAGTTGCTGAACGAATTTGCTCTTCTTCGCCCCAGGAGACATCTTGGGAAACCCCGATGGTGGAAAGGAAAATTGATCAGGTCAGATGGACGATAGAGGCTTCCGCCTAACGAGCGTCCAGTTCTTGTGCCGGTAAGTGAAGCGGCCCCCGGCACTTCAACGTTGGATTGTCTCTTCTTGCTTCTGCAAAGGAATGAAGCAAGAACAAGAGCAATCTCTGCATTTTCGTATGCCAGCATCAAAATACACTATATATACCAGTACAACTACAATAGCTCTGGAAAAAAGGATGGACCAACATTTATCTAAGCCCCTTTTGAAGGCTACCACGGTCTCAGACTCCACTAAATCAGAGGGAAGTTTATTCCAGTAGTTAACTACTCGGTTCGTAAAATCTTTGCCCTGATGTCCAAACGAGCTCTATGATGTTTGAGCTTCAGGCGATATCCGCGCAGATGGTCTGACGTAGCCAACTCAAACAGACGGGTGGAACTAATACCACTAAGTTTCTTAATGATCTTAAACGTCTCTATCAAATCCCCTCTCAACCTGCGCCGTTCCAAGGAAAATAATCCTAAGCTACTTAGACGATCTTCCTAGCTACTTAGACGATCTTCGTGTGATAGAGCGATAAAGAGGCGCAATGTTAAGTAGAGAAAGTATCAAGAAATCCGGGGCTTCCGACGTTGGCTGCAATACAAAAGGTGTCGAAACATGGCGGCAGGCGAAGTACTCGTATGAGCTTAGGTTGGCCAAATTTGCGAAAACCAATCCCAAGTGTTATTATAGTTATGTCCTTCTTTAAGAGAGGTGGTCGGCTGTCTAATCATGGAGGACGGTACCCAGGCTGTAGACGACGTTGATAAAGTAGAAGCGCTGCTACTTGTCTACCAAAACCTGCATCGGAAGGGTAGTGGGTCAGCCTTGCCATCACAGCCGCAATGCTCAACTAGCTACACAATGCGGGAAATTATTCTCAATGTGTCAGAGGTCTTCACAGTGCTGGCCAGTTTGGACCTTTATAAATCAGCTGGTCCTGATAGCGTACATCCCGCCATAGTTAAGCCTCTGGCTGATATCCTTCAGTATCCCGTAGCGGAGTTATTCAACCAGTCTCTTCAAGAAGGCAAGCTGCCACATGATTGGAAGGAGGCGAGTGTTGTTGCCATCCACAAGGGGGTTCTAAGTCGGTGCCTCTTAACTATAGACCTGTTAGTTTGACCAGCATCATGCTGAAATGCTTGGAAAAGCTTATAAGGAACAGGACATGTAAGCATTTGACTGAGCACAATCTAATTAGATTGGAACAGCATGGCTTTCTTAAAAAGAAGTCTTGTCTTACCAATTTATTGTGCTTTTTAGACGAGATTACCCGATGTCTTGATAGTGGGATATCAGTAGAGGTGTGCTGTTTGGACTTCAGTAAAGCCTTTGACTCAGTGAATCATCGATTTTTAATTGCGTTGCTGACATGGTTTGGATTGTATCCTCAACTATTGCTATGGCTCTCTGAATTCTTACGTGAAAGGACATTCAGAGTCAGGGTTGGGGAAGCGAATTCTAGTGTTGGCCATGCCTACAGCGGTGTCCTCCAAGGTTCGGTACTGGGTCCATTGCTGTTTTTTATGTTTATAAATGACCTGGCTCCTCTTCTTGAGGATCCCTGCTACATCTTCGCAGATGACTTAAAGCTAGTCAGTAGGAGAAACCAAGCGACATTGGCTAAGGACATCACCACTGTGGTGGATTGGTCAAGCCAATGGGATCTACCTCTAAATGCCAATAAATGTCAACTATTGGCCAGTAGTGGTAGCGGAATTGCAGTTCAGTCTCCTGTGGGATCTCTATCATTGCGGTGTACTGACGAAGCCCGTGATCTAGGTGTCATCGTAGCGAACAATTTTAAGCCTTCGGCACAGTGTCGCCATGCTGCCAATAAAGCGCGACAGAAGTTATTTCGTCTTAGGAGGGCGCTGAGTAACACTAAAGCAGAAGTATTCTTGCCATTATATAAAGCAGTGGTTAGGCCACATCTGGGGTATTGTGTTCAGATCTGGTCACCGTACCTCCTGAGTGACATCATTTGTATAGGAAAGATTCAGAAACTTGCGACCAGGATGATTGAAGGTCAACGAAGGGAGTCTTACGAAGATCGTCTAAGTAACTTAGGATTATTTTCCTTGGAACGGCATAGGTTGAGGGGATTTGATAGAGACGTTTAAGATCATTAAGGGACTTAGTGGTATTAGTTCCACCCGTCTGTTTGAGTTGGCTACGTCAGACCATCTGCGCGGATATCGCCTGAAGCTCAAACATCATAGAGCTCGTTTGGACATCAGGGTAAAGTTTTACGTACCGAGTAGTTAACTTCTGGAATAAACTTCCTTCTGATTTAGTGGAGTCTGAGACCGTAGATGCCTTCAAAAGGGACTTAGATGATTGTTGGTCCATCCTTTTTTCCAGAGCTATTGTAGTTGTACTGGAATATGTAGTGTATTTCGATGCTGGCATATTAAAGTGCAAAGATTGCTCTTGTTCTTACTTCATTCCATTGCAGAAGCAAGAAGAGACAATCCAACGTTGAAGTGCCGGGGGCCGCTTCACTTACCGGCACAAGAACTGGACGCTCGTTAGGCGGAAGCCTCTATCGTCCATCTGACCTGACCTGACCTGACTATTGTCAACTTTTCTCTCCGAAATTATCACTTCTAAGTGCGTGGACTGTGGCAAAATGTCACTTCTCGGTCAAAGGCCGTCCATTGCACTCTCTGCAAGAGTTGGGTGCACATAGAGTGCTGTAACATTGGTCAAGATCTCTACCACTGTCTTCAGCACACTGCCTCCGAGGGCGTAAGCTTTTACTGCAACCAGTGTCTAGCATTGGTCAACAACAAAACTGATGAGCTTACGCCCCCTCAGCATATTTACTGCTCCTGCACATGGTCTGCCTAACTCTGATTACGAAACACTTGTTTCAGTTCAGGTTCATAGAGTTGTAGGGCGCAGAAGGGTAGACGCATGTAAGCTCCAGCACCTCCCTTTCATTGGCTGGATGACACATGTCGTTGCTAAACTGTGTTCCCCGATGGATTGTTACAGCTGCAGCAAAAACAGCGGAATCCAGGCATGCTCAGCATGTACTTGTCCAATCGTTCTTTAAAACGTTCCTCTGTCTGGGCACTTACCACACATTCAGGGAGAAAGTTCCACTCATTCACAACCCGTGTGGATAACTGGACATCGGGCCGGATATGGTTCCTCCGAGGTTTAAAAAGTTTCAAGCTGTGGTTCCGTGTTGAACAATCTGTGTCGAGCTGAAAGAACTGCTGCACCTCCTTCCCCAAATCACCCCTTAAAATGCGTCTAGTATAACTCAGATCACCACGGCAACAATGGTAGTCCAGAGTAGACAAGTTCATACATTGTAGACGAAGGGGATGAGGTAAAACATAATCTAGACGCAGCCTTGGATCCGCGCCTCTGAAACTTCTCAATCAACTTACCTTCGAATTTTTTGAGTGGGTGTATGGCAGGTAGACTGGATTCCAGTATTGGACGAACGGGGGAGGAAAACAGGAGCATGAAGTTCTGCGGTGTCAATTTGTAAAAGGACCTTCGTATGGCACAGATCATCCTGTTGGCAGATGCTACCTTCCGCAACGTCCCCTAGGCTGTTCTTAGGTTTGGAGAAATAAATACACCCAAATGCTTCTCACCAACCACATTCTTCAGCAGAATGCCACCAATGTGGTAAGCACCGAAAGGTTCTTGATCACCGATCAGAACACAGCACTTATCACGATTGGTAGTCATTTGCCACTTGACAGACCAATCGTACAGCAGATCGAGCGTCAGTTGCAACCTGTCAGCATCTTCAAGCTTGGATACTTCTGCCCACAGTTTAAGATCATCCGCATAGATCAAGCAGTCGATTTGGCGCACCTCCGGGAGATCGTTGATAAAGACATTGAATAGTTCGGGACCAAGAACGGAGCCTTGTGGAACCCCACTGGTCATAAGAACAGGACCAGACCCAACTACGTTA